TATTTTTGTTGCCTAATTTAGATACTTACCTAAGATAGTTTTCTAGGTTTTGTATATATACGTGTATTCTCCTTACCAATCGAATATATATAAAAAGAGAATTCTCTTCTTTCGTTTTTCACAAGATCTAAAGTATGTTCAACTTGTTTAACCAGTGAATGCATCTCAAATGAGGTTTTCTCAAGTTAGCCATGAGCCAACCTTCAATAGACATAGTTTCTCTATCTGCTTTACTCTCATTAATATGCATTGGATGAGAATTTACTTGGTAGTGGATAGGAACTGTTTGATTTACCTGTGACTGTGGGCATACAACGGTGTCCAAGATTCTTGGCACTGTGTGAATGGATCAAGACATTGAACTTGAATGTTACTGATAATACTCTTACATCTATGATGAATAAAATTTCTATGATATGGTGCCCATCTGTATCCATCTTATATTGATAAGGAAGATTAAAAGAATTCAAAATTCGACCCAAATTTCTAAATACTTGAGATTTTGATATGGATAATAATATATTTGTACCTACCACAATCACACAGATAAGCTTTATTTTCTTCAAACTTTTATATGGTTGTAAAATACAATGTCATCTCGTAGTATACTAGTTTGACTGAAAGTTAAATGATTGAAGGGGATTAGGTGTAATGTTTTAAATATAGTGGAGATAGGTGCTTCTTACTTGAACTATTTGGATTTTCCCTAAATATTGAAGATTAAATAATCTAGCTACAAAAATCATCTTAATCTAATTGGATTAAATGCTTCTTCCTTTGTCTCATTTAAATTGTTACCATTTGACTTTTTCTGTCAATTAGACCTTTTCTTGTAGGCCATAATTTACTAAGTCCATGTTTGAGCCCCATTCTATAAAACTTATTTTTCCCAAAAACTTATTTTCAACCACACATTCTCAAAAAAATCTCTATTAAAAAAATTATTTTCCCAAAAAATGGGGCTCAAACAAACCCTCAATTTTGCAAATATGGCATTGCAAAACAATAAATCGCAATCTTGCTACTATTATTTGAATACAACTTAAATAAGAAGAATGTGAGAATTAAGTATTATTTTAAAGATTTTTATTTGTTCATGAAAATCAAGTTGGACATATGTTGAATCCTGATGTGTCTTTCCCATTTCACATAACTTGATTGGGTTATAGCTGTTATTAATTAGTGACAAGATTATGATGGATGGATAATTGTATCTAAGAGCTTTTGGGTAAGTTTCTCGTTTGGAAAATTCTACTTGTACAACCTCGGTTGACAACTTCTCACATGTGTGCAGGGTCCTCATGTTTAAAAAATGCAAAAAAAAAAAAAAAAAAAGAAGAGAAAGTGGACCTCCCCATGTGAGTGGTTGTCAACCTCGGTTGTACACGTAGCAGAGCTCTTCTTGTTTCTTGTTTGTCTTATGTTCAAAGTCATTTGACCTTTACTTATAATCATAGTTATGAGACCTAGCCCGGTTCTTGACTCCAGCCAAAGCTCCTGGCCAATTGGTCACTGAATTAACTAGCGGGTCATTGTCGTTAAAAAAGTTCAATAAAATAATTTTTAAAAAAATTCCTCAAATTTAACCATAAGTTTAAAGTTAAAGTAGATTTTAAAATACATTTATTAATTGGAATATTATAATTCTTATTTGTTTTTTTTTAATTGAATATAAGATTTATACAATTTTTTCATATTTTCTTAATATTTATATAGTTCTATCTATATTATTACTAGGTTTTTTATTTCTATTTTTCATGAAATTTCGTTTTGTTTTCTTTTTTCAAAGACAAATAAACATTAAAAATAATATTATAAGTTTATTATCTCAGCTAAGGCATTTATGTACAACAGACTAATTGTAGATAGTACACACAACAATAATGAGATAGCCTAGTGGAAAAGCATGTCCTTAATGAGTGTGAGGTCTCTGTTCAAAACTAGGGAACCCATTTTTTAAATTCCCAAAAAGCCTGTTGGTTTTTTTTCAAAACGGTTGGACCTGCGAAACCTGCTTGCAAACTGGCCTGTTCAAGAACGTCTAATGTCCAGTCCAATTACACTGACCGGACCTGACAGGGATCCAGTTCACCGGTTTTCCGGTCAGACTGGCCACTCCAATCTGCATTTAATAACTATGCTTAGAATACATGTACACATCATTCAGAACTTTTTAATTTATTCTGTTGTATCTAAAGAATAATGAAAGTTGTTCATGATGAGGTGAAATCTTGATTTTTTAATATCAAACTTGCTAGTGATAAAATATTGTCTAGTAATTCTGGTAAAACTTGATCAATTTTACAGCCTTGATCACCGTCTTCTTGTTTGCAGGTTGGATGTACTTATCACAATGTGAGATAGATTTTGATGAAATGCTCTGAAAGTGGGATTGGATTGACTTGGACAGCTTAAGGCATGGCGGAGAGAGCTGGTCTAGGAAGCCTAGATAATATTGCATCGTGTGAACAGGATGCCCCATCGGTATATCATTCATGACCACTCTCCCTTTCTAAGCTCTTGCCTTTTGCCACCTTTATATTATCTTTCCCATCCAAGGTAGTATTCTGTATTTCCTGAACATTGTGATTTTTTAATTGGTCGTTGGAAGTTTTTTTCTGTGCTCTCTTATATATGAATTTATACACCAAAAGTGCATTGCTTTCCTTTTTGTGGGGATTTACAAGGAGACCCAATGGGGATAACAATCTGTTGATTAATAGAATAGCTTAAAGCCCTTACAAAAAGAAACTTGTCCTAAAATCTCTAGGAGAGGCACATGATAATACCTCAAAAGCTAACTGTCTTTAGGGCAGTTCCTTTCTTAATATTTTTTTTAGATGCTTTCGTCATAGGGTCCTGTAATAATTTTCTTTCTTTTTGTCTTTCCTTTTCTATTTTGTTTGATGGTTAAGACTTCAATTCCATCTAGATCACCAGAATAGCAATTAGAAAATTTTGACATCAAAATCTGCTTGGACTTTCAATCAACAGCAAGAGCCAAATAGCCTGGGATATGTCCTGCACATGGGCAAACCCAGCCACCAGAAAGGGGGGAAACGTTGCCAGGAGCACTCTGATGCTTAATTCAATCAAGCTGTGGTTACTCTTACGGTTACTCTTACTGTAAGTGGAACAGAGTGAGTTTTGGCCGATTTATAACTGTTTTATACATCTGCATCAAGTGTTGGCTTCGTATTTGTTGGGGAATAAAATAGTCGTGTCATTGAGTGTAGCATCCCTAGAGTTCTGTACAAGAGTGGTTAAACCCATGCTGGTGTAGGTCGAACCAGTGGAGATCTTGGTTCAGATGTGGACATGACCTTGTCTCGACCAGAGGTCTAACAAAGGGGCCATAGATGTTCATCGGCTCTGCGCGTCAAATCTGCATGCCACTAGTTATCGTCCTTGGTGGTGTGGATAGTATCCCTTGCTTAGTCAGCTCATTTGGGTCCCCTCTATCCACCCACCCTAGGGACTACGAGCTTTCCCATGTTAGGTAATAGTGCAAAAGATACAATTTTAAATGCTGTACAAGAAAGATCATGAATGAAAGATTACGCCAAAATTATAATGGAATAAGATGTAACTTGCATAGGCCCATGGAACAATGAGGTGATGACTCAATCCCACTAATGATGCAAGAAGCAATGCCTTGATACAAGAAACAATGCTTTTTAAGAACTTGATAAAAAGAAAGTTTATGTTACCAGTATTCGTACAAGTCATTCATGCCAGGTTCTGAATGGAGCTTTCACCATTTAAATTATAGTTTAATGGCATTCATCAGGAACTTTACGTGTTTCTTGACTTTTTTCACAAGTCTCGTGTATAATTTTCAAAATTCAATCTCTTTGCCCTTTTATTATGTTCATTTTATTTGAAGGAAAATGTGTTAAAAATTGCATCTCCGCTGCCGGTGAAATGTCATTTGACATGCGTTATAGTAATCTATATTCTGGCTTGATGCAGAGAAAGAGAATGGCTAGGGATTCTTGGCCCTACTTTGATCCTGAGTACGAGACACTGAGCATCAGAATAAACCCTCCACAGTTTAGTTCCTACACTTCTATCCTATCTTTGATATCTATTTTAAATGCTGAGTATTTTCCTCCTTATTTTATTGGCCTTCTTATATGCAAGGAAACCCAGTTGAAACTAAAACTGATTGTAATATATATACTACCTTATTGTACAAGCTTGAAGCATTTATTATGTAGTTATGGAATACTTGACCATTTAATTTTGCAGTACTCAGCTTGAAGCATTTATTAAGTTGTTATGGAATACTTGACCATATAATTTTGCAAGACTCAGGTGTTACTGCTATTTGATTGTAATAACTACTCATCTTTCAGGGTTTCTGTGGACAATTCTAGTTGCAAAAAATGTACTCTTGTCAAGGTAATTTGTCAGCCTCTATAAGAAATTAGATCCAATATGACCAGACACCGTAATTCTGCTGTACATTTTCAATGTGGGTGTTTCATTTCATGTATATGTGTATATTGGACCTCCGCTATGATACTTATTTGCATAAAAAAGCACAAATCTCCCTTCTAATTTCTTATTAGAATAACGAGATGAAGGTTTTTATGTAACACTTAGGTTGACAGCATGAACAAGCCAGGGATACTGCTGGAAGTGGTGCAAATTCTTAGTGACCTTGATCTCATAATTACCAAAGCTTACATCTCCTCAGATGGCGGTTGGTTTATGGATGGTATGAGTATAATTTCTTATCACTAATTTCTTCATAATATACCTGAAGAAAGCAGCACTACTTTGTGCTTAATTATATGCTCCCTTTTGTAACTTTACATTTAGAACTCAATTATAATGGTTCAACTTATCTCAAAGTGCGAGCCTTAGTGGCCAAATCAATTATCTACAATAATGGTGATTTGTTAATTTAACAACACTTAAAAATTCTGTGCATTGGTATGCTAGTATTGTTTTAGGAAATATAAACAATTTGGGACTGAACTACTGAGATGAATGATATAAATTTTACAACCCTTTTGTCTTCGAATTACAAAAAGGAAGATCTCCTCGTTATAGAGTTACAATTAACTAGAAAAGGAAATGTTGCACTACAGTAATTGTGCAATGAAAATATGACAATCACAGAGATTATAAGATATTTTTCCATGTCTAGGAATGCCTATTTATATTTAAACGGATGGGCACATGCAATAGGAGTAACAAGTTTGGCAGCTCATTTAGAGGTGTTCTATTTGTGGCTTTCTTTTTATTCTCTCTGCCTTTCTTTGTCAACAGTTTTCCATGTCACTGATCAACACGGGCATAAGATTAGCGACGGAAGGACCATTGATTACATAGAAAAGGTATGGTTTATTGCATTTTGGATCTTCTTTTCTTTAATTTCAAGTTCGGAACAGAAACTCTACCAACTTGGTTGACAGAGAGGTCCAGTAATATCAGTACAGGTCTTATGAAAAGAAATACAGTGTCTCTGAAATGTCATTTCCAAAAAATAAAATAAAAAGAATCATTAACTTCCTTTCTCCACTACTAAAAGATAATAGTTTTGGAGTTAAATTTTTTTTTTTTTTAAAAGACATGAATCATAAGACAATGGAAGAGGAACACATTGGACAGCAACATCACTACATCAGTATATAGCCTAAATCCAAGTCAGCTCATTTCCCCAATACAGCATGTATTTTATTTTTATAGCGCTTACGTCACTATATTTATTCTCCTAATGGATCAGTATGCATGTCAATCTAATCAAGTTCATGGTCAGGAAAAAATCAGAGCGTAGTGTAAGCAAAGAATTAGTTTTGACAATTCTCAGAAATGCAAGAGCCAAGTCCTGATTAGTTCTCTTTTACTTTTGCTCTGAAAAATTGGGCAGACTAATTTTATCTAAGTCGTGTTTTCCATATCCCAGACAGCTGTGCTATGTGGTGTATGGATAGCGGTGCTTCTCTTAGAGCCCAATATTGATGTCTACTCGCTAAATTATTTATCGAAAGATAGAACATAAACATAAGGTAATATATAAATTTGTTACATGTCTAATAGCTTAAGCTTTTAGATAACATGGTTCAATATGATATAGGAGATGGCAAAGGTCTTAAGTGCAACTTTCGTGGTCACCCATATCTGAAAAAAATGTGCACCTGTAAGCCTTTTAACGAAAATCTGAATTTGGGTTGTGCATGTGAAGGAGTGTGTTAAAAACACATTTAAATAAATAAATGTGTCCCATTTCTAATAGCTTAAGCATTTAGACAAAGTGGTTCAAGGGTCCTGAAAGTAGGAGTTCATTTGGTAGCCTGAATGTACGGCTAAACTCTCTCTCTTTTTGGCAACCCACATGAAATATAGAATTAATTTTTTTCTAATTTCCTTTTGAAATATGTAACAATAGGCTTTAGGACCCAAAAGCTACACCTCAGACATAATGAAGTCTTTGCCTGGGAAGCGGGTGGGGGTGAACAATATAGGTGATTATACAGCCATTGAGCTTATTGGCAGGGACCGCCCCGGTCTCTTGTCGGAGATTTTTGCTGTACTTTCTGATCTCCACATCAATGTTGTTGCTGCCGAAGTTTGGACTCACAACAGGCGGATAGCATGCGTCCTTTATATTAATGATGATACTACTATCCATAATGTGGATGATGCATCTCGGCTATCTTCTCTCGAGGAGCAGCTGAAAAACATTCTTTGCGGGTGCGGAGACGATGAGAAAGTGGCTCGTACAAGTTTTTCCGTGGGTTCAACCCATGTTGATAGACGACTTCATCAATTGTTGTTTGCTGATAGGGATTATGAAGGTAATTGTTTGGCAACTGAACCAGGTTATTCTCCTTTATTCAAAACAAATATCACAATTGATCGATGCGAGGAAAAGCGGTACTTGGTGGTCAATGTAAGGTCCAAAGATAGACCGAAGCTCATGTTTGACATTGTGTGCACCCTCACAGATATGCAGTATGTTGTTTTTCATGCTACAATCTCATCAGATGGCCCCTATGCCTTGCAGGTATATGCACCATTGTTACCTAATGAATTGATATATTGAATATCTGTGTGAAAGTTTGATGACCTTTTCTTCTTCCCAATGTTTTCTTGATAGATAAAATTTAGTACTAAACCATGAGAGTCTCTTCAGTTTACATTCTATACTGAGTCATTCCACATGTTTTGGTAAGCTTAAAACATTTAGTTATAAGTGCGTAAGTTTTACGAAAATAATTTTCTTTTGCTAGTCAGGTTGGAATAGGTAAATTACTTATTTTGACTGTAAGGTACAGTTATTTTCAAAGTAATTAACTTTATCACTTAAAAGTAAGAAAATATAACCATATCTAACATGCTTAGAAACAAAAAGTTCAGTTAAAAGTAACTGTTGCCTTTTCTTAAGCTTTGGAAACGTGACTGGCTGACAAAAATTAGTCAAAAAAATAAATATCTACCAGGTAATTTTGTGTGCCTGGGAATATTTTATTTGGTGGGGAATTTCATTCTTGATTCAATGTTCATCTATTTCATGAATGAAATATTTTTAGCAATCAACTTTTTTTAGACATTCTCAGTAAGTGTCAATTAATTGCACTCAAGTTACTTGATTGATAACATTCCATACTATTAGACTGCTCAAATTTGTTTTTCTTCACATCTAGAATTATAAGGTCTCTCTGGGCTTGAATTTCCAATGTCTTTACATTTTGGCTCATTCTCTTGCAATGATTGGGATAAAGCCTGGGCTTTGTTTGTGGTACCAAAGTGTTTGTGATATGTAGGAATATTATATACGACGCATGGATGGTTGCACTGTAGACATTGAAGAAGAAAGAGATAAGGTAATCAAATGTCTTGAAGCTGCAATTCGGCGAAGAGTAAGTGAGGTAATGGACATCATTCTGACTTTGTTAACTTACTACTAGCTTATTGCTATCAGCTTTATTTTTTTACTGAACTGTGGGTTATATTGCATTTTGACTTAATCATGTGTATTTTTTGACTAAAATCAACCAAAAAACTCAGTATTGCGTATGAGCACTGCTTATCCACCAATATGCAAAATGTAAACTGAGGAGCTGTTAAACGAGACGATGTATATTCACATTTTAATAAAATTCTTATATTTTAGCTAACAATTTTAACTCTTTTTCAGGTTTCTGTGCTAGTCACTATAATCTTGTAGGACATTTTTAACTCAAGGTGCACGAGAAATATGAACTTTCTCGTGCATCTCATCTACTCGCCTTCAAATGCCTTTTAGTGTCTACCCTGATATCGCTTGAGTGATACTTTAGGTTTTTTTTTTCCTAATCTCAGTTCAGTTTTTTAGATCAGCATGTTTGGCTAAGCTTAAAAGTCACTTAAAAGTTACTTTTAAGTAACTTATTGTATATAAACATGTTTGGATATACAATTTGTTTTCTTACATAATTCTGAATAAGTTACTTGTTTAGTTGTTTCGAAACTAAGGTAGGAGTTACCTTCTAAATAAGTGACTTATTTGCTTCTAACTTTGACTAGTAAAAGATCTTTACTCTAAAGATTACTTATTTACGTGTAAATAAAAACTTTGAGCTTAGTCAAACATGTATTGAATCTACATATAATCTGTTTTGTCGAAGTTTTATTCTCTGTTGGGATTTTCAACTCTATTTTGTCAAATGAAATATGTAATGGACACACATTACAACTTATGAAAGTCATGCAGGGTCTGAGCTTGGAGCTATGTGCAAAGGATCGAGTAGGGCTGCTTTCTGATGTAACAAGAGTTCTTCGAGAAAATGGGTTGTCAGTGATGAGAGCTGGTGTTACAACTGTTGGGGATCAAGCGATACATGTGTTCTACGTGAGCGATGCTGCTGGGAATCCTGTAGATATGAAGACTATCGAAGGACTACGCCAAGAAATTGGAAACAATATGATGCTTAATGTGAAGAAAGTCCCAACAAATACGAAATCCCTTGAATCGAGTGGATGGCCGAAGAAGAGCTTTTTATTTGGAAGTTTACTGGAGAAGTTTCGTTCTTGAAGCATGGATTAGCAGTTTCCCTTACAATTCTACGAAATGCTATTTTAAGGTTTGAACTTTTGTGCAAGGCATTAAGTTTCTATGGTAAATCTTTGCCAAAAAATGATAATAAATAATACATTGAAAGAAATAAAGATGTAGATGAAGAGGGTGGGGTTTGGAGTTCAAGAAGACTGTTTTCAATTAATTTGAAATGTGACAATTACAGTGATATTTGAGTGATTGGATAACGCAGGATTGCCTGAATACGTTTTAGTCCTTAATTACTAATAGGAAACCTGCCTTGTGAGCTTAGAAGTACATTGGATTTTCTCCTTGCGAGTTGGTTTCAAGAGACTTGTATTTAGGTGATTGTAAAACTGGTATCACACGAACACCTTTTTTGGGAACTCTATTTGCAGACGAGGTGAATTGAAGAGGAATATTTTCGCGGAGGTACCTAATTTGAAAAATTGGTCACCATGGATGTCAGTCTGAAGCGTGTGAATTCTGACCTCTATGTCTTGCGTCGTTCGTAAAAATGCCTAGTTTATATGTTTATAAGCATGCTGGATGCCTTCTTTTAGAAGTCAAAATTAGAGGTGTCTGGCTAGATGGAGCTGTCTACAAATAGATCCAGTTCAAGCCCATTGTGGGCTGAATAGGCCGTCTGAAAATATGGTTTGGGCTAGTTCTGACTATTGGCCCACTGGTCCTTTAATATTGCAGGCAGGGCAAGTCCTAGTCCCAAAATTTATATGAGCCTCGAGCGGATCTCGGTGGTCTTGTGAGTGGTTGATAATCTGCGTGCGCAGTTCTTTAGGAAATCCCATAGATGTGAGACTTAAGAGAGAAAACAGTGGATGCTATTTTTGACATTGGTTCGTATTGGGGGCGCAAGTTATACGTCTTTGGGCTCTTTAGCTTCTAAACCATCCTGTAGATGGGAGCAGTTGAGGGTGATGTCAGAGACTTTTGGGGGCTCGCAAGTCAAAAAAATGAGAAAACTATCTCAAACCCAACCTCTAACTTTCAATTTTAAAAATAAGGTATTAATAAAATTTACAAAAAATTAGGTATATCTACCCCATGCCACCCACCCCCCTCAGCACTTCATTTATTACATTGAATTAAGCTTTCTTTCCAAATGCTTTAAACATCTTTGTTGACAGAAGAAGATGTGTAAAAAGTGATTGGATGGCATGATTGATTGTTTTTTAAACAATTTAATGAATGTTGCTATGTGGACATTCTGTCAATAAAGATGCCATTTAAAATGTTAGTGTAGCATGATTGTATTAATTTCTTCCCTCAAAATGAAATGTTGAATTTGTAGACAAAAAATCAATTCAACCATCTCCAACTCCGACAACCATCAGCCACTATACTCACCCTCATTCATGGGGAGGTTTAGGGATTGCCTGTGATAACGAGTGCGTGATTATATACACATAGAGGTTGTCTACGATAAAGTCTTTTGATGTAGATCTGGAAGTTGACGATGGTCTAATGAAAGGTGGAGGTGGTGTGGCTGTAGATTGATGATTTGTTTGAGGTGGTGCTGGTGGTGGTAGCAGAGGATTTGAGGTGCGGTGCTGTGGAGGCTCTTTTGATGTAGATATGGGAATCACTGATGGTGGCTGCAGTTGGCGGTGGTTCGATGTTGTAGGTGGTCCAATGGAAGGTGAAGGTAACATTGTTGTGGATTGTTGATTTGTTTGAGGTGGAAGTGGTGGTGGTGATTGTAGATTTGATGTGAAGGTAGTGCTCGTGGTGGCGGCCTCTTTTAATATAAATCTGGAAGTTTTCGGTGGTGGCATTGTAGTTGGTGATGGTCCGGTGGAAGGTGAAGGTGGTGTGGTTATGGTTGTGGATAGCTAATTTGTTTGAGGTGGTGGTGGTTGTGGATTTAAGGTGAAGATGGCGTGACTCTGGATTTGAAGTGGTGAAGTGATTTATGTAGTGTAGACGATGGTGGTGGTTGATGATTTGATGTGGCGGCGATGATTTGGTTAAAAAAATCCAATACTTGATTGGAAGAATTCTTGAAAATCGTACGAACAAGTTAAACAAATGACGAATAGCCACAATGTGTACCAAAGTGTTAGCTTGGGAGAGACTTGTTTGACGTGTAAAGTGATTTTTTTTTTAGAATTATAATTAAAAAATAAGGAAAATTTATGGATTTAAATGTAAAATTATTTTATTTAAAGAATATATGATTGAAAATGAATTTAGGAAAAATATTTTTTAAATAAATTTTACCAAACAAACGCTTAGGATTGCTCAAAATTGCGATTATTGTACCCAAACTAGGCACCTTCGATACAAATATTGAGAGTGCACCTTCTGATAAAATTATATTATGTAGATCACAAAATATAGGATAATTGGGATTAAACTTATCTTGTCATTTTGGGCACAGGTGTAAAAATAGGTTCAAAATTTAGCCCATGTTTGGTCCGGATTAAAATCTAATTTTAATCCAAGTTAAAGTCAAACAATCAATATTAACAACTTTCATAGGTCCCACAACTTTTCAACCACACATTTCAAAAAATTCTATCAAAATCTACTAAAAATCTAATTTTAATCCCTACCAAACACCAATAAACTGGCCAATTTCAATCAATTTTCTCAATAGATATTTTCAAAAAAATGGAAAAGAACAATTTAACTTTGATGTAAATTTTTTTATACAACATTTAATCTTGATAAATATTGTTATGAAACCAACCATCGGATTGCGATGTTGAAGTTATATGACAAATAATGAAGTATTAGATCAAAAACAAAATAATAAAAGAACACAAGAATATAGCAGATGAATTAAAAAAAAATTATTGACTTAATAATAATGAAGAAAGGAAGAAGATTATAATGGATCCTATAATTATATTAATTATATATCTCACACTATAAAATTGTATAGAAAAACCTAATATTTATAGAGAACATGTAGAGGATGTCCAAACTCTCCTAATAGATTTGTTGATGAAATAGGATACCAAAAAATCGAGTAAAAAACGAACTAGGAATGAAAAACGCGGAAAAAAAAACCCGAACAGAATAGGCTGCGCAACCGGCGCCTAGGCGCTAGGTCTCGACCATTTTTTTTTTTTCAAATTTTTTCTCCATCACAAACTCTTCTTCAAGTCCAATACCAATTTTCAACTTCCAATGTGTTTCTAAAATAGAACTTCAATTTGACATAGGACTCAATAGCAAAGGTTTGGCTTAAGAGAAATTGCAGCACTTCAATTAGAATTTTTCAATATTTCAAACACTTCAACAAAGAAATTCGGGTCACACCCAAATTCCAACAATCTCCATCTTGACACGAATTTCACCAATGAATGAACTGACTTCTTCAACAATAACCAAAAAAATTAATTTCTTCAACATAACACAATACTCCACATCTTCCAATGAATCCAAGCACTACTCTTGTAGAATTATCTCAGATTCCCAAAAAATTATAATGATTTTGAATTAACCAAAACGGGCTGTAACACACCCCAAGTTAGAATCAACACCAAATGCTTTTATCGAAGGCCCCTTGTTAGATTGAACACCTTCTATTCCACTTAAAGCATGCTCAACAAAATGAACATCCACATACCTTGTTTCACTAGGTCCGTCTCTAGTAATTGAGTACAATGGGCACCGCAGGTGATGGTGGCAAAGTGGCATTGCCCATATCTTTGAAACTTCACTGAGCTGTATTCTTCAAATTCGATCATTTACGAGCTCCTAAAGGTATTGTACCAAATTGAATGTCCACCACGGTACTGAACCTGTGTTGATTGACCTACAAGATGTATAACTGAGACTGCTTCTATCCCTCAAATACAACCTGAGCACCCTTACAAACCTTCAAAGCTCCACATCTACCTCCACCAAAGAACTCATAACCTTTTGAATCAAGGATAGACAACGAGATGTGATTCTTCTTCAAATTCGAAATATGTCGAACATGGCCAAGTGTTCTAATTTTTCTATCCAAAAGTTTCAATCGACCATACCAATTCCTGCAATCTGACAATGTATGTTGTTTCCCATAACCATGACACATTTGGAAACAGTTTCATATGTAGTAAACAAATCCTTATTAGGACACATATGAAACATACACACTGAATTAAGAATTCATTCATCTTCCGATTTAGACTCAATGTCAAAAATAGCTAAGAGATCTCCATCACTTACAACGTTCTCTATGAGGCCTGCTTCGCCCGAAGTATTTGAATATTTACTTGCAGCCGTCCTTTCTTTACTCTACAATTTGTAGCAATCCTTCTTCATGTCCCCCTTCTTCTTGCAGTAGTTACAAATCTGATTACTGAATTTAGATTTCGATCTACCCCTTCCAGAACCACCANTTCAAAACGTCCTGAAGAATGGTATTCGATAGTTGAAGATGAATGTGAGAAACTGCCTTCTTATCATTCCGTAATTTCTCCTCCACGGTCAAAGTTGCGGACATCTTGTCAATTTCCAGCAACGCATCATCCAAATTCAGCTGTGCGAATGCTGCACTCATCTTAACCTGCCGTAACGAAAATTTAGTGCTCCGATCCAAAAGCAAAATGTCATACTTCATGGAAGTCATAACAAACAAAAAACCTCGAACAAATCAAACCTGCGCTCTTGCGGAATTGCTGAACCTAAGCTCTGATACTACTTTGTTATGAAACCAACCACCGTATTGAGATATTGAAGTTATATGGCAAATAATGAAGTATTAGATCAAGAACAAAATAATAAAAGAAGACAATATTTCTCCTCCACGGTCAAAGTTGCGGACATCTTGTCAATTTCTAGCAACGCATCATCCAAATTCAGCTGTGCGAATGCTGCACTCATCTTAACCTGCCGTAACGAAAATTTAGTGCTCCGATCTAAAAGCAAAATGTCATACTTCATGGAAGTCATAACAAACAAAAAACCTCGAACAAATCAAACATGCGCTCTTGCGGAATTGCTGAACCTAAGCTCTGATACTACTTTGTTATGAAACC